CAGCCTGCCTGCCTGCACTACCCGATGCAGGAAACCCCCCTTCACTCACTCGGTCTTCATACTCACCTGTTGAACACCGACTTGTGTAAAGCAGCTGAACATCTCACGGCCTGGACTGGGTGCTCGGTACTTGGTACTCGTCTATTATTATTTTTAACAGCGTTACCAGTGAACGCGGTTAAAACCGGTACCAGGTCGGGTGAACACCGGGGACCAAGGTCGAGCGGCCGCGGCCAGCTGAGAGTGAGAGTGTGGGTGAACGCGGTGAACACCGGGACCTGGTCGGCGCTGCTTGATGTGCCGATAACCGGCGGCGGCGGTGTTCCTCACGCTGTTGGATATGAAAGGCATTCCGGAGCCCGTTTCCATTTTCCCACGGGTCGGGGCGGGGCGGGGTGGGGCGTCGCTCTTGCTTTTCCTTTCGAGCGCTGCACAAGGGCTTAATGCAAAAGTACAATGTTGTTCACGAAAGGAAAGCAAAGTTGTTTTAGCACACGGGAGAGCTCTCTGAAAACTCAACAGTGTACATTGTATGCTGAAAAATCAGCGATCATTGATGATTGCTGATATATCAGTGTACATGGCATGATTGCTGAAATATCAGCAATCATTAATGATCACGTTTAGGTTTTTGGCTTATATTTCTTTCCAGACGGATATCATCGAAAAGTTTTCCAGATTTCCAGATTCCTCGTGAAAAATGCTTTCAAACGAGCTACTATGTGATAGGGTTCACTTCCGAAATGGCCCGTCTCTCGCAAATGTCGGTAATGTAAGCCAAGTTATGGTAAAGGTCAATTTGAACCCCATCACATAGTAGCTCGTTTGAAAGCATTTTTCACGAGGAATCTGGAAATGCTATCCACTTTCCGATGATATCCGTCTGGAAAGAAATATAAGCCAAAAACCTAAACGTGATCATTAATGATTGCTGATATTTCAGCAATCATGCCATGTACACTGATATATCAGCAATCATCAATGATCGCTGATTTTTCAGCATACAATGTACACTGTTGAGTTTTCAGAGAGGAGGCGGAAGAGTGTCTTGAGAAGAGACAGTTTCGGCCACTTTTGTCCATTTCTTCTCAATTTCTCGGAGTAAAAACCTATAAAACTTGTGGCCCTTCCTTTTTATCCCCAATTTTCACTCCTATACGCAAGCGACGTGTCAAGTGCGAAACGACCATGAACTTCTCAAACTGCTACAACCACAATTTGTTCTCAAGTTGGGGGGGGGGGGGCGTCAGTATTGTCTCGAGAGCACATCCACGTCCAGTCGCTGTGACGAGGCTGCCAACTCTCAGCGCCTGGTGGGTAGGCAACACGCTGCCTGCAGTGCATGCGTGTACTGCGGGGTGGCCTACCCCGAGTTCCGCAGGCGCCGAGCTCCCGTAACTTGCCTAATAATGCGAGGGGTCCCCCACTAGCCAACTCGTTGTACACCTGCCCCGCCCAACTCGCGTTGAACTCGCGTCAAACTCGCAACAAATCGAAAGAACTCGTGCCAAATCGCGAAAATTTGCCTAGACTCGCTCTAAATTTTCAAATAAATATCGCAAAACTCTCCAAAAATTGATTCTAACTCGTGCTTAACTCGCGGCAACTCGTCAACTCGCCAACTCGTTGTACAACTATTTTGGAACGGGGGGACCCGGGACCCCTCGTAATAATGTACCTGAGAAAAATAGACGAACTTTCCTCCCAAACAGAGCCACTATTTTGGGCAGTGGGTAAGTGGGCTACTCTCAACAAATTGTTTAAAAATATCGATTCAATCCACTAACTGACTCTTCGAGCAACAATTATAAAGTCCCATCCGGTCTCAACCTTTTTCCTCGCCAGTTGCTCGACATAGTGTCGTGTTACCCAGGAACAACGACGATTGACTGTATCGTCGAAAGCCTGTGTGTAAGTCTGCGTAAGGTTGGGAATTTCCAAAATTATTTTCCCGGAAAATTTTCGAAAAATTCCTGAAAATTTCTGGATAATAATTGAACTTCCAAAGTCTGGGAAGTTTTTCATTTTCCCTTGAAATTTGCCGTTTTTTTCTGAAATTTTCCGGAAAATTTTCAGTGCTTCCAGCCATGATGTGACTGTACCGCGTGCGCTGTTATTAGCGGACTGCCCCTCAATGCGCTCCCGTGCAGTTCGAGGAAAGGCGGGCGGGGGTGTCCGCTATTGCCATGTCAGGTGCATCGAGGCGAGGTCGGAGGAAAGTTTCCGAGCCGAATCTGATCGGAGGAGGAGCGCGTCGGAGCCGAAGGGGACCCCTCGCTTTATAATGGCATCAAAGAGTTGACTCCAAACGCGGCGGGGTGCGCGCACTCTCCATAACAAGCTACGAGTTAGGGCCCAAAGATGTTGGGGAGGAGGCGCATGGAGGGTTGAGGGCGTACATACCTCGCACTCTCAATGGGAAACGACAATTTTGTTGCAACCTAAAGTACAAACAAATGTTTTTGTGTTGTTTATCATAGGCACAAATTTACCTGATCAAAACATGGTTGAGAGAACATGAATGGAAACTTAAAGGTTTTTGTCAGTGACTCGTGTGAACTCAGGGCGATAGCAAAGGTGAAGATACTTCGAGCGAGTTGTGAAATGATGCGCCGGAGATTATTTCACCTGATCAGAACTTTCCTCAAATTCCAACTTTCAACAAAACATGAAGTTCCTTGACACTGGTTAAGACTCAAACGGCGTTAAAACCATCCGGTAATAACCATGTTTTATTTTATTTTTGTTCTCACAACCATGTGAATGTTGTATGAACTATATTTTATGGTGCTCCTCAGCCAACCACACGATGGTTGCCAAAAGCTAATAATTTTTCTGTGTGATGGATTTAGAGACGTTGATGTAGTTGCCCTTTATTTAGTGTGTTGAGCTCTCCCGCTCTGCAGGGCGTCTTGTTGCAGTCGAAGCGAGGCCGCGCGGCCCGTGTTTGAGCGGGCGGGGCAAGGCGGGGCGAGGCGGGGCGAGGCGGGGCGGGGCACTTTCACTTGGAGCTACTCTGTCCCACACTGCCGAAACACACATACAGGCAGCCTGCCTGCCTGCACTACCCGATGCAGGAAAACTGACTGTCGACACACGATACTGAAAGACACGAATCGAAGTTGTTATTTAACCGCGTCGAAAAAAAAGGACGGGGCGTGACCGGGCCATATGACGGTCGCTTTGGGTCCGGTGGCGTCGTTCGGCGAGCGTGTCAAGTTGACTCCGGGCCAAACTGCGGACATGACGGTAACGCAATTATTGCGATGGGAAACAAAAGAAAGAGAGGAGAAAAAAGAAGCGGTTTAATACACTTTACGCCGGGCGAGTATGGCTCCTGATGGAGGAACCTCGGACCGCAGCCAGAGCGCCCGCATACCGTATACGGTGCGAAAACAAGACGAATGTCATTGTAGGGCATATCGCATTGAAAAGATGTGTTAAGAAGAATGTACGAAAACAATCTGGACAAGAAGCGTGAAAAGTAAAAAGTACTCTCCTTACAGTCTTATTAAACGGGAAATGTCAACTTTGTCCTAAGAAAAGGGGCATGGGGCAAATTTTTGTACGCTGTTGGCCCATGTGTGCCAACTTGTAATTTAAAAAAAAAAATAATTGGTGCAAGCTTTGTCCTTAACAGTTAATGTTTTTTTTTTGTTATTTGTGTGTGTAGAGGGTCGAAATTGTTTCGCGCTACGATGAGTGTTATGCGAGTGTAGGTCTTCAAGCGTATTAAATGGGTATAGAGACCGTCAGCGTCAGAATGGCGATGTGGAGACCGTCTGCTGACCAGGCAGGCGCGCGCACTGACCTACGCCATCGTTTTCCCCACGATGTTAAGTGCACAAAAAACGTTTTAGCTAAAATAGCTACTACACACGTTAATTTGGCCTTAGAAGCTTATGCTTAGCTAATTCTTAGCTAAGAAAGCCAATTATTAATTTTCACTGCTAGTTCCATATTCTTCTAGACAATAACTGTTGTATGGCTAACTTTTTAGCTCTCTTTTGAAAATGCATCAGCTATAATTTAGGTAATTCTTTTCTTTTCGTGTTACGACGAAATTTGGCGCACCTGGGCACCGGCAGACTTGTACTCGTTGTACCGGAGGCGCTACTAGTAGTAGTAGTACTACTCGGCGGTATGGTGGCGACGTATACCGCCGTACTCGCCACTCTCCAGCAGCAAGCGGTTGTAGGCGCGGCTCGCGGCTGGGCGCGGAGGAGAAGGTGAGGCCCGAGACGGTGGGGCGGCGTTGCCAGCTCGCCGCCGCCCGCTCTCGCCGCCGCTGCAGCTCCCAGACGCTTTAGCGCGCGGGCCGCAGCCGCCTGCGTACCGCCATGAGGCCGTCGCCGTGCGGCATTCCATTCCATTCGCCAAAAAGGCGGGGAGGGTCTTTACTCCCCCGAAAAATGATTTTTGGTCGTCGGACTACTCCCCCGCCCATACTAACTGCGCGTGCCATTCGTGTCCATCATATTGAGCATTAGACAGTCTCTACCTGAGCATATAAAGAGACCCACCCCCTTCCCATAGGGTAGTGATGTTAACCGCACTGTATGGGGACCGCTGGGTCTGGGGGTCGCGAAGAGTACCCACGGCCGCGTTTGTAGCTCGAATAGGAGATTTTACAAATATGTACCAACTGACTTGGGGATGTGTTTTCGGATAAAGTCCCCTCTCCCCACCTGTTTGACCCAATTCTTTTCAGCACAAAGGCTACAAACTACACTCTCGTTGAAAATTAGGGTCAATTTTGTTACTTGAGCTCGAACGTTTTTGTGCACATCCGCAGAACGATCGCAATTTTGATCCCAAAACTTTGCAAAATTGTGTAAAACTTTACTTTAGTCCCTTTATGCGACACTAATACCACTACGGCCAAACAGGGAGGGGGGGGGGCGCTCTCACAAGTGAGCCGCCTGAAAGGTTGGCAATTTGTACCACCGACCCCCTGAATGTGGGCGACCCACGCTGCATTGCCCACTCTGTCACCCGGACCTTATACACCACGCCTGGCGTTACGCAACCAAACGAGACCCCCGAGTGGCTTGAGCCCACAGTTTTTCTAGGGATTTGAATGAAAGCTGGAAAGAAAAGCAATTTTAAAAAAACACACAGAAAAAACCGGAAAAATTCCCTTACTTCTCCTTTTTTTAAGGTTTTTTTTCGGAAACTTTGACCTTTTCCGGAAAATTTAATTCTCTAAGGTATTCCCCAGATTTTCCTTAATGTTGCAATTTCATTCTTGTTTTTGTGCGCAGGCGCCTGCAGCAGAAGCTGTCGGTGGCGTCGACCACCACGGAGGAGGACGAGGACTCTGTGACGGACACGGAGCCGGAGCAGCGCGGCCAGGACGACGCCCAGGACGCGGCCGAGGCCGCGGGGGGCGGGCCCACGACGCTGGCGCGCTCCCGCTCCCACGACCTGCTCGGCGGCAGCGCCGGCCTCCCCCACGACCACCTGCCGCACGACATGAACGCCGACGAGCGCGAGGCCTCGGACTACGAGAGGTTCTCCTGGAGGGGCAGCTTCGAGTCGGCCCTCATGGCGGCAGACTCGCGGTACGTAGTAAAAAACGTAACACGTTACGAAACAAAACAACACAAAACACACACTTAAATTTTCACAAGAAAATCTGACTAACTGTAGTAACTAAAGTGTTGTGCTGTAGTGTAATATTATCAAGAAATTCTCAAGTATTACTAAACTTTTTCCTAGTGTTACTAAAAGTTTTTTTAGTATTACAGTACGTTCTCCTAGTACCGTAGTTATAATACTGGGGAAATTTAATTAATACTAAAGATTCGTAGTTACTAGTCGCAAGTTTAGTGTACACTTTAAGTAACGTTTTAGTTATGATTTACTGCAAATCATTGTAGAATGCCACATGGACAAATTAGCCGACCCTGGGCGCAATATTAAAAGGGCGCTTGTGGAATAAGTTAGTGGAGGGGGAGGACGAGGATGTGAACCCAGTGAACCCTTCCTCTAATCTAAGGTCCGTCCTATTGGCGCAGGTCTCGCCTCTCGTGCGGCGGCTCGGACACCATGACGGCCTCGGTGGCCACGGCGGCTAAGCGCCGCTCGGCCGGCGACCTGCTCTACTCGCACCGCAGCCGCGAGCACCTGGACCGCGTGCGGTCCTGCGGCTCCATGGGCGGCATCGGCGCCTCGGGGCCGTCACCGGGACCCTCGCTCGGCACCATCGCCGTGGCCCTCGCCGGCGCGGGCGCCCAGGGCCGGCGCGCCTCGGTCCCGGACACCTCGGGCGGCTCGGCCGACGGCGACGACGACGATGACGGCGATGACGACGACCTGGACGAGCACGACGACGACGGGCACGAGCTCGCCGACGTGGCAGCCAGGTCCACCACCTTGCCAAGGAGTCTACAGGTGACGAGTTGTTCAATTTTATTCTTAAGCAAAGTTAAAGTTGTGTGTGATGCCTGCCCCTTGGGTGTGAAACAACAAAATGAAACTTCAATATTTTTAAATAAATCAAAAGTTTGAAATGTGTGTTTTTTTGTTGTTTTTTTGCAGGCCACTCGCGGTGCGGGCACCAACAGCCTGCCGCGGCTGCCTACCTCGGGCTCCGGGGCGGGCATCGCCTCCGCGCTGCTCAAGATGAACGCCCTGGGCCAGGTGCAGAGCGCCCGCTACCGGCCGCCGGGCTACTCCCGGCAGCCCTCCGGCGCGCCGCCCGCGCCCGCCACCCTGCTCGGCCCGGCCCTCGGCAACCCCCCCAAGAGGGCCATGTCGGCGCCGGGGCTCGGGCCGCACCAGCCCGCCCCGCACCCTCGCCGCGACCGGAGGAAGCACCTGCTGCAGAGCTCGCAAGGTACGTGACGATGTCGAGGCAATCACACCAAAGTGAGCAGAGCAGTTGGATTACCCTCTCGCTGGGGAGCTCCGCAATATCAGCTCCCCGTGCATATCACCGCCACCTCGACCGCGGGGGAGGGGGGGGGGAGATATGTGTGGTGCACTGGGGGCGTAGCCAGCGCGGTCCAGTGCCTGCCACCGCCGGCAGTGACTATCGTGTGCTCCGTCGCCTCGATGGCCAAGGCGCGGTACTCCCGCCTAGGCGGTGCTACCCGGGTGCACGTCGACGTGGTGCCTCTGGCGGACCCGCAGCCACCGCCGCCGTCGCCGTGGTACTACTCCGCGCCCTGGATGTCGTGCTGCGTGCCGCGCCCAGTCGCCCTGGCGGTGGTCGACCCTCCGCCGCCGCCGCCGCAGCTCGCGGACGGTCCCCGTCGTGATGGTGCCCCTGCCCCTGTTAGCGAGCCGCCCGCTGCGGCGTGTATCCGGGACCCGGAGCCGACGCCGGATGTCGTGCGGCCGCAACCGGAACCGAGCCCCGCGACGGGCGCGGTGGAGCAGGCTGGGGTGGCGGCGGGGGCCGCGGAGGTACCCGTCGAGCAGGGACCTAGTCGAGAACCGGTGAGCCCGGGTGCCACCGAGCAGGACGCGCCACCAAGTACGGAGAACCATTTTCTCGTTTTACTTTTATTCTATATATTTATTTTGTTAGAACACTGTGCGGATCGGGTACAGCTTAAAATCCTTGTTAAAAGAACTATGTATAAAAATGTCAGTAGCGATCCATTTTGTGCCGATGTCGCCTGCTCTTGTTGTTGGCGCTCTCTCTCTCTCTCCCTCTCGCTCTCTCTCGCTCGCTCTCTCTCTCTCGCTCTCGCTCGCTCTCTCTCGCTCTCTCTCGCTCTCGCTCTCTCTCGCTCTCGCTCTCTCTCGCTCTCGCTCTCTCTCGCTCTCGCTCTCTCTCGCTCGCTCTCTCTCTCTCTCTCTCTCTCTC